AACAATTTATAGCAAACTGAACGTCGTCTTTAACATCATATCCTTTACCTTTTTTCATTGCTGACCAATCCCAAAATTTATGCTTATGCCAACCTGCTTGAGATGTACTTAAATCTATGTAGTGACTATGTGCAGGTAAATTTTCACCTGAAATCGTTTTACTTCCACCTGTTTCCTTTGAAGAGTTTGCACAATACAAAAACCTGTCGACTATTTGAGTCCAAGTTCCAAAACCAAGTACTACTTCTGGTCTGGTAGAGTTCATTGACGTATAAATAGAGCCTATAGGATACAATGTTTGAAGTATTTCTGTCTTTAATGTTTGAAGCTCTGTTTTGTCTGCTTTCTTGTCATATAAATCTTGAGCAGTGAATTTAATATTATGTTCATCCTTCATGACATAAACATCTTTACATCTAATGTTTTTCATCGTCGTTATGTCGTCATCCGATGTTAAACCTTGTGGAAAGTTAGGAGGTTTACAATATAATGCATCCCACCAGTTTCTTCAACCGTTCCTTCAATACTTTCTATAGCAACAGTTGTAAAACTTGTATGTGTATGAGTCTTATCTGCTTTCTTCTCTAACTCATCGTTAACATAAGTTTTATCCGCTTTAAGGTCTAAACATCCTGAAACCCATCCTGTATCGGCTTTAGTTTTTAAAATCTTTGTTGTCCGTTCATGGTACCATTCAACCCTTTCTATAATTTCTTTATCTTTTTCATCCACATATTCCTTATCCGCTTTCTTCTCTAACGCAGCAGCCACACAGTCCTTATCCGCTTTATTTTCAAGGCTAACGTTTAAGTCTGTTATTTCAGATATAGAATGTGTATGAGTCTTTTTAGAATATTCGTTTTCAGCTCTTGTCACTTCACTTGACATTTTATTGTCAACATATGTTTTGTCTGCTAGTTCAGGATGAGTATGTTCTTTTGTTGCATAAGCATTGTTAGCTCTTTCTTCTTCTTTTGCTATTGCATCGTCTACATATTCTTTGTCAGCTTTGTTGTCAACATCTGCTTTCAAAAGAAGTTCATTTATAGGTTTCTCGTTTAAAGTTCCTTTTGTTGGATTTATACAGACAGTATGGTTCTTATTGTCTTGAAACAGAAACTCATCTGTCATTGGGTTTAATGTCAGTTTTAAGTTTCCTTCTTTCAATGACTCAGATATCTTAGAATAGTTTGAAAAGTTTGTTGTGTTCTTATTTAGAGCTTGTATAATGAGTTGTCGGTTGTGTTGTATTTCTCTCATGGAAGCAATATCTTTCGACATTTTTATTATAGATAAAATATGCTTCCAATAGAAAAAGAAAATTCAAGAGTTGCTACAACTAAACCATTAGATGAACTTTTTACTAATGTCGGTCAAAAGTTTGAGACAGATACCGTAAAGCATGAAGGCTATCGTTTTGACTACCCATTAAGATGGTTAAGAGACCCATCCGTCACAAAAGCTATTGGCTTTCGTAGAATGAAGTTCATTTCAGAAGCCATACATGGTTTCCCATTTACGGTCGGTTTTGAAGTTCGATACTATAACAAAGAAAAACGTATGTATGAGAAATTTGAACAGGGAAAACTTTTACAAGTTAGTTTGCTTGTAAACTTAGAAACAACTCTTCAAGCTTTTCAAGAAAAAATAAACGATATCTATATCGAATATGCAAACCAGTATAACATTGACGAGGGAGAATACCATCTCGATATTATTTATGACAGGAAAAATGCAACTGTTAAAATCAATAGAATAGAAGACCTTGGAGAAAACGTTTATATTTCTACAAAATATAACAACTTGGCATGGTATAGATTTATGAGGATGTTAAATCAGCCTGCAGCATATCCAGTACACCCGGACTATTATGAAGTCGAAAACCCTAATGGAACATATGAAAATATTTTCGACCAAGATGCTATTATTGTTCATGCTTCATTTTCTGTGCGCAAAACTCTTTCTTATGCTTGGCAAATGACTTTTACGAAAAACCTACAAAGTTATACGAACCACCAAGTGGAAGTATTTCAGACTTTCAAGTATGGTTTACTACAGATGGAAGAAAAAGAATAATTCCATTATACCATGCGTTTTACTTAGAACTTAGTTTCATATACAACTACTATCGAACGGTAAAAATATAATTTTTTAATACGGTTGAGGTTGCCAACTAGACTGTGGTGCAGGTTCAGGCTGTTGTATAACAGGAGCTTGCTCTTCTGGTTCAGGGTCTTTAGGTATAATACCAACGAACTGACCTACTCTTTTACCAATATTTTTGACACCGTTCCATACTCCTCTTCCGACAGATTTTATTCCATTCCATATACCTCTTCCAACTCTTCTGAAGAAGTTTCCAATACTACTGAAGAAACCCATTTTACTATATGTAAAAATCTAATGTCCACCTAGTCTCTTACGTTTCCTGTTGAGTTCCATAGCATTCTTTAACTGGAGCTCATACATTCTGTTTCTCCTCTGGTAGAAAACATATTCTGGGTCAACTCCTGTGTTCGCGTCATCTGCATAGAGTTGTTTATATCCCACTTCAGGGTTTGTATAAAACTCTTTCCATCTCATATTTGCATACCATGGTGGCAAACCTAACGCAGCGTCATTTGACATGGCAGTTTGCATTTGTACATCTGTTGGCACTTGACCATAGTTTGCCATTGCAGTTTGTATTCTAACTTCATTTGGAATATTCTCTGGGTTTGGTTGTCCAGGTTGCTGTGCATTCGCTAAGTTCTGTGCGTCCATTTAATATTAGATAAAAATATCTCTTACGAGTACATATACTGAACATTTGCAGGCATTGGTTCATCTTCATATTCTCTGTACTTTTCTGCCACGTCAAATAAATAAATGACACAATGGAAAAAACCTAAAACAAGTAGTCCTATTTCAAACCACATTTACTTACTAATAAAATTTCTTTGTTATGACACTTTCTCCAGTTTATAGGACCTCTCTCATATTCTATCTTGTCATATATAAACTCATAGTCATGTATATCTTCTAACCATCTCATAACGGTTTCCAAACCACTTTTATCGGATGTAAAGTAAAAGCATGGATGGTTATGTATAACGTCTAAAGTTTCTAAAGAGTCTCTCAAAGTCCAGTCTACTTGGTATTGAAAATCCCATGTGTTATAGAACGGCGGGTCCACTATAAAGAAAACATTTTCCTTGTCTTTATATTTTTCATACAACTCTGTCCAATGACATCTCACAAACTCTATACCCTCAATATATTTTTCTATGTCCTCTTTGAAAACATTTGTATAGTTAAGATATAAAACTTTTGACATAAGTGTTTCAATGTCATGAACTCTTATAGCACCACTATATAATAGTCTAGCAGATATACTATCCCAGTCTATATATTCTGCTTTTTTCAAAACCTCTCTCACAATATTTTTCTTATCTAATGGTATACGTTCCATCTTACCTATAGGTATCTTTTTTTTAACTCTTTCAATATATTGTTTGTGTCTGGTATATGTTTGAGACGGTCCATATAGTTGTCGAAGTCATTGCATATAATCTTTGAGTCTGGGAATATTATATGGCACAAATGGGATATATAGAAACTTCCACCGAACAAATCTACAAATGTTAGACCATTCGGTAGTTTCTTAAGTTCTCTCAATATAATATCTTTACATCTACTCTTATTTCCAAAGAACGGTAACGGTGGTTTTGTAAAATTCATTTATATATAATAATAAAAATTTTTACTCGAAAAGTGACAGAAAAGTGACAAAGCATGTACGAAGAAGTCTTGAAAATTCAAGAGGGTAGAAAAGAGGTTAGAAAAGAGGTTAGATCTAACCTCTTCACCTAAACTTTATTTTTGGGTCATTTACACTCATTACGAAGAAGTCTTGACAAAACATGTACGAAGAAGTCTTGACAAATTCAAGAGGGTAGAAAAGAGGTTAGAAAAGAGGTTAGATCTAACCTTCTACCCTAAACATTATTTTTGGGTCATTTACACTCATTACGAAGAAGTCTTGACAAAACATGAAAACATATATAATTTGTGAAAAGCTCCTGGAAGACCCGTATATAAGAACTTCATTTATACTAAACATCTTCAGGGCTAGAAGGCACGAAGTGCCTGGAAGCCCCACTACCTTTTTTTTTTTTTTTTTTTGATATTTTTAACAACCCTAAATATTTTCCCTTCGGTTTAGACTGTAAAACATACTCCGATTTAATGCTATTCAAAATGCATTTATATAAACTTTTGTATTTTTAGAAAACTGAAATAAAATAATCATTTTAATTTTTTACGTCATCATATTTTGGAAATATTTTATAAAGATAATTCGAAAAATTTGCAAAATGTAGAAATGTGCGAATTAGTCATTTTTCAAAATCCTCTGGAATTTAAATTTTGCGGAATTTTCGTGTTTTATTAATAAAGAGTTGAACATTTTTTTGTGTGGTATTCTTCATGATTTTAAGATAATATCAATTATTTTTGGGAATACAAGTTTGCAAAATGGGGAAGTCGTTAAGTCAATATTAATCACAAATAACTATCTTATTGTGAAATATAATTTTTAATTAAAAAACATATCTAAAGAAAATTTTAGCTTTCTCTCAAATTTCATAATATATACTGTATATTTTCATAATTATTATTTCAATCATAATATAAATGAAAATAAATTTACTTAAATTCCGTAATTTTTTACTTTCTTAGCCAAAGAATAATAACTACTACTGCAACAACAACGGCAATGACAGCTAAGACAGAGAGAACTGCAATAAGAGCTTTCTTCTTTTTAGCTTCCTTCTGTGCAAGAATTCCCTTTGCAGAATCTGTGGCAACAGCATCTTGATGAATGGTGATTGTTGAAAATTTTTCGGCAGATTCATTTGGTGTTGTGACCTTAATCTTGATTTCTGCTGATGTATTTGTTTCAGTTTTAGGGATCGTTAATTCGAATGGGACTCTAACTAATCCTGCTTCATTAGATGATTCTATTGTCTTCTTAACTTTATCATTATAGAAGAGTGAAACACTGAATTTGTTATCAAAGTTTGTATCTGGGCATTGATAACAGCTGTGAAATTGAGTTTATCACCTTTATTGTATGTTTTGTTGATTAGTGGTTCGAATGCAGTTGTGAGAACTGTATTATCTTGGATAACAATGATAAATCTCTTTGTGGCAATCTTTTTACCATCAGTAATTGTAACTTTAACCTGATATTGCCCAGCTGCTGTATTGGATGGAACTTTGAATTTGATGGTCTTTAGTTCTTTGCTATTTGCAATTTCTTGTGTTGCAACCTCTTCATTATTGAAGAAAACCTTTGCTGTGAGTTGTTTATCACCTAAATCTTCATCATATGCTGAAGCCAAGAAAGAAACTTCAGAATCTGAAATGTAATAAACATATTCAGGAGGAAGAACATACAACTTTGGTCTATAATTAGCAGGGACAGCAGTAAATGGATAATCAACATAGACCAAGGAGTCGGTTCCTTCAGCATATGCATTAATTCTTAATATATACTGGCCAAGTTTTGTAGGTGGTTTGATCTTGATATCAAAGTCCATGAACATCTGTTCTATTGATACAGTAAATTCTCCAAGGCTCTCTTGTTTGACAACTTTACCTTCTGAATCGATAAATTGCCAATATGCTTCTACACGATCACCTGGAATAATATATGCAAAGACTCCAGTAATTGGTATATCTTCAGTTATATCTGCTTCTTGATCTGGCAAAACTTCGTCAAGGTAGAGAAACGGTGGCTGATAATCGCCTTCATAAATCATGTAAATGAATGTTACTGACTGGCCAGGTTGAATGTATCTGTTAAGCCATGAAAATGAAAGCCAATGAATTGTAGGCATTTCATCTGTTGCATATAAGAATTCCTCATTGTTTGTGAAAAACTTTGGTTCATCATTTGAACCGAAATCTTGGGCATTGATATCTGAAACCCATGGGTGGTTTTGGAGAACGATTGTAAGATCATTGGAACAGTTATTGTATCAACTTTACTATCTATATCACTGAATTTAAAGGCAGTACAAAGGTCGATTTTCTGTTCTTTAGTACCCTTGTTTGTAATTGTCTGTTTTACAAGTGTATGTAATAAATTAGGGTGATTTTCTATTTCAACTGCATAATCTACTTCTGTTGCTTCATCAATGTTCTTTGTAACGCCATCAATTTTAACTTTTGTCCAAAGTTTATCAATTATTTCGACAGTTTTAGAATCGCTATCATCATAGAGCATATATGTATACTTACCAGTGGATTTGGCTGATACTGAAAGAGAAAATCGAGCAAGTAATATGGAAAGCATTTAAAAAAATGATAATATGATTTTACAAAAATAAGCATTCAAAAAAAAATAAAGTAATTCAAAAGTATTATTAGTCGTTTTTCAAAATCATCTTTACTTACGAATCGATAATATTTCAGACCATTGTGCACTATAGTCTGTTTTCAATAGCTAAAATCATATTATAGTTTGTCAAGATGATCCTCTCAATTTTCAATGTTTTGAATTTCTTATATTTTTGTGAAAGAATAAAAAATTAAATTGAAAGTTCTCTGCCAATGTCATTGCATGTATGAAACGCAGTATATATGTTTAAGCACCTAAAAATAAGAACACTATATCTTAATCTTTATGAAATTTCTCCTTATTTAATTATCGCTGTCATAAATAATCTTTGAGTTTAATTATTCAGTAAAAAATTCATTTCAATCCATTATTTACTAAGTTACAGATAGATCTGACCGCGTATCTTATTCCGATTATTTGAATAAAGTTTTTTGTTTCAAAAATTGATAAATAATATTTTTTATTCCTTCTCAGAAAATTCAAATAATCTTTTCAATCTTTTTACTCCAAAAATAATATTCATTATAAAACTGCTTGGTAATATTTTTACAAAAACCAGAGGCAAAAAAAATCCTCTGAAAGAATCTCAATATAAGCATCACCGCAGTTGGGATGTTAGAATTTGTAATTTATCCATTATTTAATCGGTAGAGAAAAATTGGTTTCAAAAGATATTAAAAATCTGACACACCTATTTTTGTCTTTTACTTTTAATCACTATTAATAAATATGATTTGGAGGTGATTTGTTTAATTTATACGGAATTTGACTAAATTTTTTTATATTTTGAAAATTAAAGAGTTAAAACTATTATATTCGTGTGTTTTCCAAATGGTTATTGTGAATTATGTGGTGTAATAAAATCCAATAAAGTCGGTAAAGCATAAAAAGTTTTTATGAAATATTTACTAATAAAGCATCATATAAAAGAAACTGAATCAAATTCAGTATATATATACTCCACTTTTCCTTGAATGCTTCAATATTGTTGAAGAAAATTGATTGTGCGGATTTCATTGCATCGTTCAGACTTTTTACTCATGATAATATTGTGATTAAGTAATTTGATGAATTTATCCTATGAATTCCCTAATAAATACAATAAAAAATCCGTGATTTTTACTTTCTAAACCAAAGAATAATAACGACAATGGCAACAAGAACTGCAATTACTGCTAAGACACTGAGGACGGCAATGAGTGCCTTCCTTTGCTTAACTTCTTTTGTTGTAAGAATTCCTTTAGCAGAATCACTTGCGATAACATCTTGATAGATGTTGATATTTGTTAATTTTTCAGAGGATTCGGTTGGTGTTGTGACTACGATCTTGATTTCGGCTGTTGTGCTGTTGTGTTTGTTTCTGTTGTTGGGATGGTGAAATCAAGTGGAACTCTGACTAATCCTGCATCGTTAGTTGATGTGATCGTCTTCTTGACTTTATCGTTGTAGAACAGAGAAACAGTGAACTTGTTATCGAAGTTTGTATCTGGATCATTGATGACAGCTGTGAAGTTGACCTTGTCGCCTTTGTTGTATGTGGCATTAAGTTTTGGTTCGAAATAGATTGTGAGAACTGTGTTTCCTTGATTGTGATTGTGAACTTCTTTGTTCCAATCTTCTTGCCATCTGTAGCTGTGACTTTGACTTCATATTCACCTGCTGCTGTGTCTTTTGGAACTTTGAATTTGAATGTCTTAAGATCTGTGCTGTTTGCAACTTCTTGTGTTGCAACTTCTGCATTGTTGAAGAAAACCTTTGCTGTGAGTGGTTTATCACCTGAATCTTGATCGTAGACTGAAGCCAAGAAAGAAACTTCAGAATCTGGAATGTAATATAGGTATTCAGATGGAACAATGTATAACTTTGGTCTATAATTTGGTGGAACAACTGTAATTGTGAATTCTTCATAAAGCAATGAGCCAAGACCATTAGTATATGTGTAAACATATAATGTGTACTTTCCAAGTTCTGTTGGTGGTGTGATTGACACATCAAAATCCATACTTGTTTGTTTTTCTGAAACTGTAAATTTGCCAAGGCTGCCATATTTGATTATCTTATCTTTTGAATCATGAATTTCCCAACCTGCTTCTACCGTGTATGGTTCAACTAAGAAATAAAAACTTCCCTTTACTTGAATTACTTCAGTGGAATCTGTTTCTTCTGAAATCAGAGATTTATCAAGTTTAAGTAATGGCGGTTGATATGTCTCTTCATAAAACATGTAAGAAAGTGTGATAGACTTTCCTGGTTGGATATACTTGTTGAGCCATGAGAATGAGATCCATTGAATTTCAGGAAATCCAGAGTCGTATTCTAAAATTTTCTCATTGTTCGTGAAGAATCTTGGCTCAGGTTCTATTCCAAAGTCTTGGGCACTGATATCTGTAACCCAAGGATGATTTTGCAGAACTAGTGTCAGATCATTTGTTTGATCCCACCAAAGATAATAACCAAAGTTTGTAAGGGATGATGCTTCAACATTATCTATAGAATCTTTTAAATTCAATGCTGTGCAAAGGTCAATTTTCTTTTCCGTTGAGCCTTTGTTGGTAATTGTCTGTGAAATAATAACATAATCTGAATTTTCATCATTATAAATTTCAACGGAGTAGCCTAAATCAGTGGCTTCTTTAATGTTTTTTGTAACACCATCTATTCTGACTTTTGTATAAGGTTCTTTAATTATTTCATAATTCTCCCTTCCGTCCTTATCATAAATCATGTACGAATTATCCCCAACAACTTTGCCTGAAACTGAAAGAGAAAGTTGTGCAAGTAATATGGAAAACATTTAAAAAAATGGTAAAATGATTTTATAAAAGTATTCAATTATAAATATTTCAGAAACATTTTGAGTCGTTTTTCAAAGTCATCTATACATATGAATCGATAATATTTCATATTATTATACCTTATGATTGATTTTCTATAGTTATAATCACCTTGTATAATGTCAAGATGATCCTCTCAATTTTTTGTGAAAAAATAAAAAATAAAAAAGCTATAAAATTGAAAGTTCTTTGCCCAATGTCAGTTCAAATAAAAAATGCTCAATTTGATTTAATAACTAAAAATAATAGATGCAAATCTGAATGACTACTTATTATCTGTGTCAAATTTAATGATTGAGTTTATTTATTCATTCGAAAATTCCAGTTCAATATATAATTTTAAAAATTTCACATTAATTATGTATGTCAGAAATTTTGAAATAATCTGACATTCTACTTCTTGTCATTTATTTTTAGCCATGAAAATTGAACTATAATTCCTGTATATACACATCCATATGTCATTATATATTGATGGACCCTTGATGATAATGTCAAGAAAAACGAATAAATCTGATGAGTAATGAGACAAAATAACTGTTTTTTTAGCTGGCAGATTTTTTATAGTAACAAACGGGAGTCATTATTCATTCTCCTTTATTTTTGAGATGGGAAGATATCATTGCAGCATTATATACTCATCAATTGGTAACTTATGTTATGGGATCATTTGAAAAAAAATTTATTAGTAATGTTTATTAATTAGATGCTTCATTTATAAAAAAGCTTGTCTTGTTCTATGATCTTTATTCCAAGTTGGCAATTAAGATTTAGTTGCACAACAAGAATTTCACATGAAAAACAATCCTAGATTGAGTAATTTCAACTTGTTGAAAGATAATTTATAAGTAATTTTAAAAAGTGTGTTTAAAGCATAAAATTTAATTTATTCTCCGAATTTTTTTATTTTCTCAGCCAAAGAATAATAACGACTACCGCAACAACAACAGCAATGACAGCTAAGACACAGAGAACTGCAACAAGGGCGGTCTTCTTTTTAGCTTCCTTTGTAGCAATCTTTCCTGTTGCAGAATCACTTGCGATAACATCTTGATAGATGTTGATATTTGTTAATTTTTCAGAGGATTCGGTTGGTGTTGTGACTACGATCTTGATTTCGGCTGTTGTGTTTGTTTCTGTTGTTGGGATGGTGAAATCAAGTGGAACTCTGACTAATCCTGCATCGTTAGTTGATGTGATCGTCTTCTTGACTTTATCGTTGTAGAACAGAGAAACAGTGAACTTGTTATCGAAGTTTGTATCTGGATCATTGATGACAGCTGTGAAGTTGACCTTGTCGCCTTTGTTGTATGTGGCATTAAGTTTTGGTTCGAAATAGATTGTGAGAACTGTGTTATTCTTGATTGTGATTGTGAACTTCTTTGTTCCAATCTTCTTGCCATCTGTAGCTGTGACTTTGACTTCATATTCACCTGCTGCTGTGTCTTTTGGAACTTTGAATTTGAATGTCTTAAGATCTTTGCTGTTTGCAACTTCTTGTGTTGCAACTTCTGCATTGTTGAAGAAAACCTTTGCTGTGAGTGGTTTATCACCTGAATCTTGATCGTAGACTGAAGCCAAGAAAGAAACTCAGAATCTGGAATGTAATATAGGTATTCAGATGGAACAATGTATAACTTTGGTCTATAATTTGGTGGAACAACTGTAATTGTGAATTCTTCATAAAGCAATGAGCCAAGACCATTAGTATATGTGTAAACATATAATGTGTACTTTCCAAGTTCTGTTGGTGGTGTGATTGCACATCAAAATCCATACTTGTTTGTTTTTCTGAAACTGTAAATTTGCCAAGGCTGCCATATTTGATTATCTTATCTTTTGAATCATGAATTTCCCAACCTGCTTCTACCGTGTATGGTAACTAAGAAAAAAAAACTTCCCTTTACTTGAATTACTTCAGTGGAATCTGTTTCTTCTGAAATCAGAGATTTATCAAGTTTAAGTAATGGCGGTTGATATGTCTCTTCATAAAACATGTAAGAAAGTGTGATAGACTTTCCTGGTTGGATATACTTGTTGAGCCATGAGAATGAGATCCATTGAATTTCAGGAAATCCAGAGTCGTATTCTAAAAATTTTCTCATTGTTCGTGAAGAATCTTGGCTCAGGTTCTATTCCAAAGTCTTGGGCACTGATATCTGTAACCCAAGGATGATTTTGCAGAACTAGTGTCAGATCATTTGTTTGATCCCACCAAAGATAATAACCAAAGTTTGTAAGGGATGATGCTTCAACATTATCTATAGAATCTTTTAAATTCAATGCTGTGCAAAGGTCAATTTTTTTCCGTTGAGCCTTTGTTGGTAATTGTCTGTGAAATAATAACATAATCTGAATTTTCATCATTATAAATTTCAACGGAGTAGCCTAAATCAGTGGCTTCTTTAATGTTTTTTGTAACACCATCTATTCTGACTTTTGTATAAGGTTCTTTAATTATTTCATAATTCTCCCTTCCGTCCTTATCATAAATCATGTACGAATTATCCCCAACAACTTTGCCTGAAACTGAAAGAGAAAGTTGTGCAAGTAATATGGAAAACATTTAAAAAAATGGTAAAAATTTTTATAAAAGTATTCAAATATAAATATTTCAGAAACATTTTGAGTCGTTTTTCAAAGTCATCTATACATATGAATCGATAATATTTCATATTATTATACCTTATGATTGATTTTCTATAGTTATAATCACCTTGTATAATGTCAAGATGATCCTCTCAATTTTTTGTGAAAAAATAAAAAAAAAAAAGCTATAAAATTGAAAGTTCTTTGCCCAATGTCAGTTCAAATAAAAAATGCTCAATTTGATTTAATAACTAAAAATAATAGATGCAAATCTGAATGACTACTTATTATCTGTGTCAAATTTAATGATTGAGTTTATTTATTCATTCGAAAATTCCAGTTCAATATATAATTTTAAAAATTTCACATTAATTATGTATGTCAGAAATTTTGAAATAATCTGACATTCTACTTCTTGTCATTTATTTTTAGCCATGAAAATTGAACTATAATTCCTGTATATACACATCCATATGTCATTATATATTGATGGACCCTTGATGATAATGTCAAGAAAAACGAATAAATCTGATGAGTAATGAGACAAAATAACTGTTTTTTTAGCTGGCAGATTTTTTATAGTAACAAACGGGAGTCATTATTCATTCTCCTTTATTTTTGAGATGGGAAGATATCATTGCAGCATTATATACTCATCAATTGGTAACTTATGTTATGGGATCATTTGAAAAAAAATTTATTAGTAATGTTATTTTATTAATTAGTGCTTCATTTATAAAAAGCTTGTCTTGTTCTATGATCTTTATTCCAAGTTGGCAATTAAGATTTAGTTGCACAACAAGAATTTCACATGAAAAACAATCCTAGATTGAGTAATTTCAACTTGTTGAAAGATAATTTATAAGTAATTTTAAAAAGTGTGTTTAAAGCATAAAATTTAATTTATTCTCCGAATTTTTTTATTTTCTCAGCCAAAGAATAATAACGACTACCGCAACAACAACAGCAATGACAGCTAAGACACAGAGAACTGCAACAAGGGCGGTCTTCTTTTTAGCTTCCTTTGTAGCAATCTTTCCTGTTGCAGAATCACTTGCGATAACATCTTGATAGATGTTGATATTTGTTAATTTTTCAGAGGATTCGGTTGGTGTTGTGACTACGATCTTGATTTCGGCTGTTGTGTTTGTTTCTGTTGTTGGGATGGTGAAATCAAGTGGAACTCTGACTAATCCTGCATCGTTAGTTGATGTGATCGTCTTCTTGACTTTATCGTTGTAGAACAGAGAAACAGTGAACTTGTTATCGAAGTTTGTATCTGGATCATTGATGACAGCTGTGAAGTTGACCTTGTCGCCTTTGTTGTATGTGGCATTAAGTTTTGGTTCGAAATAGATTGTGAGAACTGTGTTATTCTTGATTGTGATTGTGAACTTCTTTGTTCCAATCTTCTTGCCATCTGTAGCTGTGACTTTGACTTCATATTCACCTGCTGCTGTGTCTTTTGGAACTTTGAATTTGAATGTCTTAAGATCTTTGCTGTTTGCAACTTCTTGTGTTGCAACTTCTGCATTGTTGAAGAAAACCTTTGCTGTGAGTGGTTTATCACCTGAATCTTGATCGTAGACTGAAGCCAAGAAAGAAACTTCAGAATCTGGAATGTAATATAGGTATTCAGATGGAACAATGTATAACTTTGGTCTATAATTTGGTGGAACAACTGTAATTGTGAATTCTTCATAAAGCAATGAGCCAAGACCATTAGTATATGTGTAAACATATAATGTGTACTTTCCAAGTTCTGTTGGTGGTGTGATTGACACATCAAAATCCATACTTG